ACGCACAAGACGATCCTTCAGCAGCGGTGGAAGACCCACCAGCAGCAGAAGACCCACCAGCAGCAGTGGAAAACCCCCCAGCAGCAGCAGAAGACCCACCGGCAGTGGTGGAAAACCCCCCAGCAGCAGAAGACCCCCCTGCAGACAAGCCATCGCTGGCAGAAACAGAGAGCCCACCTGGCCACAGCGCCCACCCAGCTGCCGCCAAGCTCCGGCACAGCCAAATAGGTTGGAGTCTTTTCTTGTCGGTGTGCTGTAGCGGCAAGAGTGACCTACTATCAACCCCCGGCGGAGCTGAGCTTGGCACATTAAACCGCGCCTAGTGCATGGCCCTCTCCTAACGCTTGTGCTTCCCACGCCTGCCCCTAACCGCTGCATTTTTTTTTTGGGCATCGAGGGCGCAGGCAGGAGTCCACAGACACCTGCGATGCAAGCGCTCGTCGCGGCGGTGCCAAAGCTGGCCGACGTTTCCCTCGCTGCGCTTTAAGCCCATGATTTCTCCTCTGGGCTGTGGACATGGATAAGATTTTTAACACTCAGGTCCCTTTCAGCACCCGCAGAGTCCTCCGGACCCCCAGCTTTCTTGGTGCAAAGGCAGGATGCTGCCTGGGCTGGTGGGTCTCTTCTCTGCCAGCCCTTACCTTGTAGGGAAGGCATGAGGAGCTAACTCAGACTGATGAGTTGCCGAAGCACCGGCTCTGGCCATGTTCGGTCAGTGAAAGGCTAGCTAAGGAAAAGGGACACCCCCTACCATGATTTCCTAGAAACGCTTGTGGACTTTGGCCCGCGGGTTGAGCAGCGACCTTTGGACCCAGCGGAGTCTTTTTCTGCTTTGATCTGTAACCTCCCAGCTCAAAAAGTTCCCATCTGTGCCAAGAGGGAAACCCAGTTTGGTCTCTGTGGCTTTACTTGGCAAGTCAAAAGGTCTTCCTCAGCCCAACACTTGGTAGACAACTCAACGCAGTCCAAGGGCTCGGCAGTGCCCTGCTTGGCCCAGGCATGCCCAGCCCAGCCGGCCAGCACACATCCGTCCCCAGACCTGTCCCCAAACCCCCACTAAAGCCTGACCCACCTCCCAGTATCAAAAAACACTTGGAGCTGCACGGGGCCCTTGGTGTACCAGCACCTCCAGGGCAAGGACACCCTCGTCTCGGGGACACCGGGGTGCCTACCCCAGGCAGAGGCAGCTGCCTCCTGCTCCCTAGGCCTGGCAGGGAGCCCTGGGGGCCCCCGGGCCACCCCGAGCCAGGGAGAGGCCCCCACCCCGACACAGGGGCAGATGTGGGAGGGAACAACCCCGCTGGCAAAGGCGAGGCAGCCAGGACGGGCCAGGCTGGCAGGTTTCTCAAAGGCCAGCCCCAGCCTTGCACATCCTCGTGTCTCTGGCTCGGTGGGCAAGTTTTGGGAGGGAGCGGACAGAGGCGCAGAGCAGAGCACGTCTGCAGACCAGGCTTAGCCCTGGAGGAGCCGCAGCTGTTGGGGGAAGCGCTGGGGCAGGCAGGGGCCCCGTCGGGCAGCAGATGCCACGCGTGCTGGCACTACGCCCCAGCCCCGGGAGCCCCTTCCAGCCACGTCCTTCGCATTCCCCATGAGCGGCCGGCCCTCACTCCCCTCAAGGGAGACACGGCATGTCTCCCTTGCCAGCCCCTCCTCGGAGCCAAGCAGTTGCCCACGATGCTTCCCCCGGCAGCCACAGCCCTGGCAACCTCCGCCAAGCCTCCAGGAGCTTTTGTAAAAGAGAAACGGTGCGGTGTGCCAAAGGCGACAGTGGGTGCCAAGGCGCACGGCAGGTCCGCCAGCTCGGGGTGTGCCCATGCCCTCTCCCCAGCAGTAGCTTGTGCGAGCTCCTGCGTGGATTCCCCTCTCCAGCGGTAACAGGTCTCCTTGCCTTTTTCCTCCAGAAGAGGTTGAAGATGCCACCGAGCTGACCAAGCGTGACCGGTCCCACTTGGAGAGCACCCTCAAGCTGAATGAGGACAAACCTGCAGACGATTTCTCAGGTGAGGGGGCCTGGGTGGTACCCAGCCACGCATGCCCTGCTCCTTCAGTCCATGCGATCCCTGCAGGACAGGCTCCCCACCATTCTGCTGCACCAAGAGCACGGATGGGATTTTCCTTCCCTAGAGTGTTTTGGTTTTAACCTTACATCTCGTAGGTCTGGTAACACCTTATCTTCAATAACAGCCCTTTTGCTGCTCTTGGGTTAACAGATTTCAGGTATTTTAAAGACAGCCCCAAGGGTGTACAAGATTTAGGAGGGTAGAGAGGCTGGAAGATGCAGATGGTGAATCAGCCCAAGCCAGTCACATCCCTGGGCAGAGAAACCTGAGGCAACTTGTAATAAAGGGTTGGGATTTTTATTCCAATTATTTATTGGGTTTTGTTATTATAAGGCTTGCTTCTGCTGGTCCCATGGGCAGTCGGGACTGGAAAGAAAGTGATAAAAGCTGCTGTGGAAAAAGCTCCTTCTTTCTCCTAGCGAGCAGCTTCGGGGCTGTGCCAGGTGTCCCCGGCACCATGGTGGAGGGCTTTTTGGGATCGTGGGTGTTGAGTGCTAAACAGCATTAGCAAGAGATGTTCCTTCCATCAGCTGCTGGCACTTGCAAGACTGGCAGCAG